CCGCACTCCTCCAGCTGCAACCACGTCAAAGAAAGGTGATGACTGGTCCGATTTCGAGAAGAAGCTCCTAGAGTTTTGCATACATCAGATAAAAGAAGATGATTCACCGGTCTACGGTGACGGATTCAGACAAGTTTACAAGATGGTCTCAAATCATGTCAACTATAAGGATACTCTTAAAGACATCGTTAGCATTTCCAAGACTACTATACCAGCTTCAAAGATCTGAATATCAGCCATAGTATACCCCACTTACGTATATATAAACAGATTCATGTTTTCCTTCTTTGGTGTGGAAATCTTTTTTGGGTGTTACACAAATGTATTTTTTTCATTGGATTTTGATGAAATTAAAGGAGTTCTTAGCTAAAACACACCATAATTATGCCTTTTTAATATATTTTTAGTTTCGAAAGCACATTTTCTTTCTAATATTCTTCAACTCTGTTTCCGGTCCGGTGATAAACAGAATTGAACGCCTACGCCCAAAAACTTGGTTTTTTATTTTCTTGATAAAACCATACATACTTTTTAGTTTTGTTTGTAACAGAATTTATTTATTTATGTAGGGCTACAACGTGTGAACACGAATTTATTACGTATCTCTCTATTCATTTCTAATAAAGTTTGCGATCCACACAGCTGACACATTTGTGTATATTCATTCTATAAGTCAGCTGATCCAAAAAACAAAATCTCTTTTTAATTTTTATTTATTTCAGAAATAGTATTCGGTTCAATTGTTAGTCTAGTAATTATTTATCTGATTAATTGTTTAATGCTACCGGATATTCCATTATGTCATTAAAATGAACCAAACCTCAAATTATCCCTCTAAAATTAATTTATTCTCTATGAAACTTTTCTGACCTCTATACATTTAATTAGTTTCCGATTTAGGGATAAAAATACAAAAAAAGAATTACGATCAACAACGACCAGATTTAGTAAAATCCCGACGATGCATCTTCTGTAACTTGGTAAACCGATCGATATCGAAATCGAGCATTTTCATCAACTTTTTCTGCTTCGTCTCGAACCGGCTTTTGTAAAAACCTTCAAAGGAAGGTTCTTTCGAAGTTCGTAGAAAGAAGGCATAACCAGCCATGAAATAAGTCGAAGTTACGTAGAAGCATATTGGCTCCATCACGTCCCACGATAGTTCCCAAAACGTCAACCTAAAAAACCCAACAGTTTGGGCCATAATTAGGCCTAATCCGGCCCATAACTCTTTCCGGACCAAATCATCGGCTTTTTTGTCAATATCTGATTTTATAATCTCAAGTTGCTCGAACTCTTGTCTTGTTGCGGCGTCTCCGGTAGGTTCGTACGTCGGAATTAAACCAGCCACGGCGCTTGTTAGCTGTAAAATCATACACATTAAAAACAAAATCAGAAGAATTTTTTTTATTTAATAAACAAGTTTATTTTGTAATGCATGTACAGTTTAATTACCTCTTCGGGTTTAAGACAGACGAAGTTTCCCAAAACGATGACGTTTCCAGCTTGGTCAAGCATATTCGCGACCCGGTTAGCTTGTTCAGGATCCGAATTGTTTTCACCGCAAACCCGAACAAACTCCGAATAAGGAACCCAGTTTTTCCCAATCTCTCTAAGCCTCGATTTCACCATCTCCATTTCCGCTGCTCTCATAAGCTTCTTCACGTCTTCCACCGTAACCGCCGGAAAACCTCCCGGAGATGTCGTCTTCTTCTTCTTCTCCGGCGTCGGCGGCGGTAACATCTCGTCAAGGCGAATCCGGTTATTCGTCAAACTCAATTCTCTGAGTTTCTCCATCAGATTGTTACCTCCTCTTGGAACTATCTCCGGCGAGAAAAATGCTCTCTTGTGAAGAAATCTCCGACGGATTCCAGAATCTCCGGCGTCTGGAGTAATGTCGGATTTTGTCGGCCGCATTCGGGTAAGACCCGAAACCCGGGAATAGGTTTTGGAAATGTTGAAGAGATTACGAACTAAGGATTTCTTCGACGCCATCTCTACTAGTATGTTAGAAAGAAGAAACAAAACAAATGAAATTAAAGAAGAAAATAATAAAATTGGATTGTTTTTGGGGAAAGACAGAACAGAACACGGCTTTGTAGCTTGGTCCGAGATTAAAACAGAAGACTTGAGTTGCCTTTTATATTCGTAGCAACGAGAAGCTCCTAAGAAACAGAGCATCTTATCTCACGATATATTAAACACGACAATTACACATAAGCGTTGCTTATCTATTACTACTATGTTCTCTTCTTAATTAAATTTTTTATTTTAAACGTTTATTTAGTTATGAAACAGCCTAACAAAAGCTAAAAAATACTCCAATAATTATAACGAGTTTAA